TTTCTTTCTTTCTTTCTTTCTTTCTTTCTTTCTTTCTTTCTTTCTTTTGATTTCCTTCTTTTTCCTCTTTCTTTCTTTCTTTCTTTCTTTCTTTCTTTTGATTTCCTTCTTTTTCCTCTTTCTTTCTTTTTCTTTCTTTCTTTCTTTCTTTCTTTCTTTCTTTCTTTCTTCCTTCCTTCCTTCCTTCCTTCCTTCCTTCCTTTCTTTCTTTCTTTCTTTCTTTCTTCTTCTTCCACTTGGTGTTATCTCTCTTTCCCTCCAAGGTCATCTTTCCTTTTGCCTCCTCACTTTATTTGTATTGATCCTGGTCCACCAAATTATACCCTTTGTGGTAAGAACAGGAAAGGGATCACCTGGTGTCCAACTTTCCATCTCTATGCTGCTACTGTTACATACATTAAAGGATTGAGGCCATAATTGCCAAAGGCTGCTTCCTATGATGAGAAGAGAGGCAATAAATAAATAAGTAAGTAAGTAAGTAAGTAAATATCTAAATTACCCCACAGAATTGTAATTGTAATTCTGGCTCACAAAGGTTTTGTGCTTTGGATAGATAGATGATAGGTATAGATAGGTAGGTAGGTACGTTGGTAGGTAAGTAGGTAGATTAGAGATGGAGATAAGGTAATGTTTGCCCTCGCACATCTGTACTACTCATTTCTGGCTCTAGGGGGCAGTGTTCATCTCCATTACAAAGCCGAAGAGCCAGCGCTGTCCAAAGACATCTCCATGGTCATGTGGCTGGCATGACTAAATGCCAAAGGCGCACGGAACGCTGTTACCTTCCCACCAAACTGGTCCCTACTTTTCTACTTGCATTTTTACATGCTTTCGAGCTGCTAGATTGGTAGAAGCTGGGACAAGTAATGGGAGCTCACTCCATTATGCGGCGCTAGGGATTCGAAACTTTCTGATCAACAAGCTCAGCGTCTTAGCCACAGAGCCACCGCACCCTTTGAGATGGAGATAAAAATAGACAATAGATAGATAATAGGTAGGAAGGTAGGTAGGTAGGTAGATAGATGGATAGATAAATAGATAGATAGAGATAGATATATAAAGTTGTTAGAATTCTTCTCTTTTCACTCAAACCTGTTTATATCTTTTCCCGCTTTTGCTTGCTTACTGTTCAGTTTTGTTCAGTGTTTGGTATTTGCTGAAGTTTGGTAAATAAACTAAGGTATGCTATTTTTCTTGGCCATATTAAATGGGGAGTGTAGCTTTTTGGACTTGGATATCCAATTTTACTTTTGTGCCAGATGCAAACTAAATTGGAAACTACCCAATATATTTGCATTCTCCCTAGCAACAATCTGCTATCAATCTGCACTTTGTCCTTCGCCCATCTGTTTGATGTTTGCCTTCCTCCCTCCTCCCTTCAACACTGGCAATACCTCACAGGAGAAGTGGGAGGTAATAGCCTCCCTTCCTCAGCCTGGCCTCCACCTTTCAGGCAAAAAAAACCCCAGGATTAAATCTTGAGGAAAAGATCTTTTTTCAACAACAACTCCTGGTATTCAGAAGCAGGTCTCACCTTGGCAGCCTGTCATGCCATCACTTTAATCTACCTGAGCAAAAGGCAATGTTTTTCTCGAATCCAGCTCAGGTCCTATTGACTTTATTGCACCACAGTCCTAGAATCTCCTGGGACTTTTCCCCTCCAGAAAATTCTCCAGATCCACCTCTCTGTGTTTCTTTTTTTGTTTGCCAAGTTAACTGTTTTATGGCACATAACATGCAAATTGTAGAATATACAATATAGATAAATAACTGAATACAGTTTTATTTATACAACAAACACTAGACCACGGGGATGCTGCAATAGTGATAAGTGTGAAAAATAACTATAAGTCACTTCTTCCAGTGCTGTTGTAACTTTGAGTGGTCACTAAAGAAATAGTTGTAAGTTTAGGACTGCCTGTACTGCTACTCCAGAGCTGCAAACTTAATGTAAGACCCGCCTCTCATCAGCTTAACTCACCAGCTAACTGCACAACCTTTGTTTTGCTACTGTTCTGACCCAGGCTTCATCAAACTTAATGAAACACAAACTGAATTTAAAGGTAAAACCTTTTTTAATGTGACGCTGGGAATTACTTGAATTCCCTGCCAAAACCAATTAGACACAGTTCCTCCAAATAAGAGCACGCTTTTCAGTGCTGCAGAATGTTCCAAGAAACAGATGTCCAATTAAGGCTAACATAAATCAACCCAAAACCCTGGGAAAAAATGACCAGAGTATAGAGATTCATGAAGGACTCGGAGATTGCTGAACTGCTTTGCTTCCTGCAAAGGTCTTTGTCATTGAGGACTGACTTTTATCCCTGATGGGAGAGGCAATCACCTCCTAGCCTTACTCTTGAGTTGCCCTTTTGCTTCAGCTGCTCTCACCTTCTAGCAGTTCTGTGTACATGCGAATTTGGAACAGGCTCCCCATAGTCCTCTGCTTTGCCGCTACCAGACTCCGGAGGCTCCAGAGGCTCCGAAGGCAGCATCCCACTCCCAAGTGGCCCTGGCCCCATCCCTGCATCCAATGCAGGACCCTCATCCAAGTCCTTGCCAGTCTCCCTGACTGGTTCCCTTTCATCCTCACTGTCTGATACCTCTGCCATCTGCACCGGCCGCTGGCGAACCACAACAGCTACCTTCTCACACAGAGTGGGTATCTAGTGGATAAGCAGGACAATTTCCAAAATTCTCTTTAAATCCGGGGAATTCTTCCAGCTAGAAGGGTCCTGTCTGAGCCCCAAATCAGTTTTAGAATGTCAGGGAGTTGCACAGCAGCTGTCCAGATGGAGTTGGAGACATTAACACAAACTTGTGTATATATAAAAGAGGTGTTGTAGTAGAATTCAGTACTGCAGGCTAATTCTGCCCACAGCCAGGAGTTCAATCCTGATTGGTCAGGGTTGACTCAGTCTCTCATCCTTCTGAGGTCAGTAAAATGAGGACCCAGATTGTTGTGGGAAATAAATTGCTATTTCTATAAATAGAAGCCATGGTGGCACAGTGGTTAATATTGCAGACTGGTTCTCCTCACATTCAGGGGTTCAATCCTGACCAGCTTGTTCTGACCCAGGCTTCATAAACTGTAATTATGCACAAACTTAATTTAAAAACAAGATCTATTTTATTGCAATGCTGGGAATTGTTTTCATTCTCAGCCAGAATTAAACTCAAACAGTCCCCCAAGATAAGCACACACCTTTCAGTTCTGTGAAGTGCTGCCAAAAACAGAAGTATCGAGTTAATTATAAAAGAAACCAACCAAAGTACAAGAAAAAAACAACTGAATTACACAGAGCTTCAAGGAAGACTCAGGAACTGATCGAACTACTTTGCTTCCTGCAAAGGTTTCATCATTTAGGCCTGACTTTTATCCCTTATGGGAAGGGCAATCACCTCCCAGCCTTACTTCCAAGTCTCCCCTTTTGTTTCAGCTGTTCTCACCTTCTAGCAGCTCTGCACACATGCGCACTGGGAACAGGCTCCCCTGGTTCCTCTGCTTCGCTGTTGCCAGACTCTGAAGGCAGTACCCCACTCTCAGATGGTCCTGGCCCCAACCCTGCATTGGATGCAGGACCCAAATCTGAGTCCTCTCCAGACTCCCTGACTGATCCCCTTTCTTCCCCACTGTCCGATTCTGCTGCCATCTGCACTGGCTGCCAGCAAACCACAAAACGGCTCAAGATTGACTAGGCCTTCCATCCTTCCAAGGTGGGTAAAATGAGGACCCCAATTGTGGGGGACAATAGGCTGACTCTGTAAACCACTTAGAGAGGACTGTAAAGTACCGTGAAGCCGTACATATAAGTGCTATTGCTATAAAAAATATATTCAACATTTATAGCAGTCTTTGTCATCACCCAGAAAGGGGAAAAAAAAACAACCACAAGATATTCAGGAACACAGGAACATCATGAGGAAAATTAAAGAAAATATAGAACACCCTGAAAAAAAAAAAAGGCGGGAAAAAAGGGAAACTCCCCCTTTATACTTACGGCAACCAATCATAGTGTAGATTGCCTCATGCATAAGTCAGCACTTTCTAACTAACCCACTACAGTTGTGTGTTCTGGCCTATTGTACACTTTATTGTTCCAGGTACTAAACTTAATAGCTTAACATAGTGTCAATTCACCATCCCCCCCCCCCCACTGGACGTTTCCTACCCAACAGCAACAGATTGAAGGGCTTATCTTGGGGGTTTTCTGTGTGACGATGCAATGAGGATGGCCTGGAGCTGCAGGCCCCTAATTAGACCCTTTTCTCTTCTTCCTTCCCAGGCTTCCTTTTGCATTCCCTGTGGTATTCCTACCTGCAAGCGTCAGAGCCCAACCAGGGGCTGCCCCAATTCTTCTCCAAGGCTTACCTGGATGACCAGCCCATTGCTCGCTATGACAGCCACACTGGGAAGGTGGAGCCTCTGGTGTCTTGGATGGAGAAGATGGAGAAGGAAGATCCCAACCAGGGGAAAAAAGGGAATGAGATGTTGCTCGCCGCTGAGCAGGTTTTCCGAGATGAATTGAGGAGCGTATGGCAAAACGGTGGTTTCTTTGTGTTTGTTTCTTCCTCCAGCTGACTTTTATTATTCCAAGGGAGAAATGAAGAGGGGAGGGGGGAGGGAAGGAGAAACATACCCCTGAGGTGGGCTTAAAATTTTTTAGCAACTGGGTCTCTGCCCGGTTGCTGGGTGGGCATGGCCATGGTGGGTGTCAGACTCCTGCACCATGATGCGGGGTATTTTCATCCTCCCTGGGCTTACTTGAGCCTCCAGGAGGGCAAAAATGGCCTCCCTGGGCTTCAAAGGCTCTCTGGAGGCTGGAAACAGGCTGTCAGGGCTCCGACAATCCACCCCCATTCAAATCATGAGTCTCTAGCTGCATCTTCCAGAGTTTAAAAAAGATTTATTAGGAGTAACATGCCGGCACTACCTGGGTGCAGCCAACTCTAAGACACATCATTCATCTCACCCTTGACCCTGGTCTTCCCCTCCACCCCCTGGGTGTATATTCTCCAATGGACACATCCACAGCCAATATTTCTCTTTTAGAGTTGTCATGGGCCCATTTCCGGCCTTCTGGAACTTCGGGGGGGGGCATTTTTCACCCTCCCCGAGCTTCTGCATGGGCCTTGCACTTACCTGGGATCCAAAATGGGCCGCTTGGAGACTTCTGGGAGGGGAGGAATGGGGTGGGTGGGCGGGGCCAGCCTTTCATTGCAACTGCTGGTGCAGTGAACCAGATGTAAAATTAACATCCGGTTTGCCCGAACCGGTGTGAATCGGTAGCAGCCCACCCCCATCTCACAAGGAAGGGAGACGGGGCCATATAACCCAACTTCAGGCTACAAAATGCAGAATTTTTGCCTTTCCCCTTTTTAAGTTCCAGCACTGAAACGAGATGGTGATGATTTTTTTTCTTTCCTCTAAAAGAAAGAAAAACTCCAGATTATTTTACTTCACCCAAAATACTGGCCGTTGCATGATATGGGAAAAGTTTGTTGTAGGCCCGTGATGGCGAACCTATGGCATGTGTGCCACAGGTTGCACGCAGAGCCATTTGTGCAGGCACGTGAGCCCCAGCCAAACTTACCTGCACTGCACATGTGTGCACTTCCCCACTGATTTTCAGCCCATTTGAGGCCATTTTCACCCTCCTGGAGGCTCGAGGGAAGCCTCTGCAGCCTTGGGAGGCTGAAAAATGGGCCTTCTGGAAATACTGGAAGTGCCCGTTTTCAGCCTACAGAGGGCCTCTGGAGCCCAGGGTAGACTGCTTTTGGCACCTAACAACAAAAAGGTTTGCCATCACTGGTGTAGGCATTCTTCACTTTTCTCCCTGTTGTACAACATGGAGGCCAATCAAGATTATGGTTCCTTCTCCAGAAGGACTATGAAGTTTATGGTTCCTTCTCCAGAAGAGTTGGAAGGGAAAAGAATCAGACTGAGACTCTACTATAAGCTTTTTTGGGGGGATGGGGGGCTTGGGGAGGAAGTCAGTCCTTCTAATCTTTCTTTCAGAGTCTCACACCTGGCAGGCAATTTTGGGCTGTGAGCTCAGGGAAGACGGGAGCAAAGGAGGGTTTTTGCACTATGGCTATGATGGGATGGACTTCATCAGCTTCGACAAGGAGACCTTCAGATGGGTGACAGCTCAGCCCCAGGCCCAGAAGGTCAAGGAGAAGTGGGAGGATGATTCAGGATGGTCCCAGAGAAACAAAGTCTACTTGGAGACTTGTATTGAGCAGTTGAAGAGTTACTTGTCTTACAGTAAGGAAGCTCTGCAAAGGATAGGTAAGGATAGGTAAGTGCAGGGGAATGCAACTACATAATTTTCTTGGCTGGACTTTTGAATGCTGCTGGTGGGATGGGAGCAGTGGTGGGATGCAATTGGTTTAACAATTGGTTCGGCAAGTATGTGTTTTGCACGCACACGCAGTGTTAACCCCCACACACACCAATTTTAAGCTTAAAAATTTCTATGTCAGTGCTGGTGAGTAAAACAGCTGACTCACAGCAATCTGCTGTGCTGCACGAATCAGCTGAGCTAAAAAACCAGGGAAATATAGGACAGGAAAGGGCAGGGGTGGACGGGCAGGGTCAACTGCTCATCAGAACTACTGATGCGCTAGAACCGGTGCAAACCGGTAGAATCCCACCACTGGATGGGAGGAGGTCTGTAGTTCTCCTTAAGGAGCATAAACTCAATCTTGCATGGAAGGAAGCCTTGTGTAGAAGGTATTTATTGATTTATTTTATTTAGTGCATGGCATCTACCAAGGCTATGCAATCCCTTATATGCAACACGAATAGTGTAGAATAGGGGCATCAAACTCGATTTCATTGAGGGCCACATCAGGGTTGTTTTTGACCTCGGGGGGCTGGTGTGGGTGTGGCAGGATGGGAGCAGCCAGCTTGAGGTCACTCGTGTTGGGGGCGCGAGTGATGGCCCGAAAGCTTTGCCAGCAAAAACAGGCTCCTGAGCTCCGTTTTCATCTGCAACTGCTTCCTGGAACCCTCTGCCAGCAAAAATGGAGCTCAAGAGGCCCAAGCTCTATTTTTCACTGGCAGAGGCACTGCGGGCCAATCGTTTGTTGTTTCCAGGGCAGCCCCATCGGCCAGATCTAAGCACGCTCTCTCTCCATTGTAGTTCTCTGTGTAGAGTTGAAGATTGCTTGCTTGTCTAGTATTTGTCTAACGTGTGTGTATGTATGTATGTATGTATGTATGTATGTATATAGTAGTTTTATATATAAACCACTGTTAAAAGACAAAGCCTCTGTGTCCTGTGTTTTGCTCCTTGGTTGTCTCATAATAATAGTCACACTGTAAACATTCTGACAGTAAGGAAGGTAACACTGATGGACATATGCATGATCCTTGGCCAACAAAAAGTGAAACATACCTCAAGTCTACAACAAACAGATTACACTTTGAAGGAACTTGGCCATAAGATGGAAAAGGGTACACTGTGCATCAAATTTCATTATTATAGTCAATTTCAGGAAAAGTAGTTTTAGCCTTTCTGTGTCATTGATTTCTTGGACTAGTCTACCTAGTAGGACTGACACTTATGTAACATCAAGGTCCACCTTTTGATAGATTCAAGAAAGAAGGGATTGCAGGGATGCAATTCCGTGAGCTTCTTCCAGATGTTGCATTGTCTTGGTAGTTGGAGAGATCCTGTGAGGTGTGCTGTTGTTATTTTTGCAGAGCCTCCAGTGGGGACGGTGATGCACAAGACTGTCAGTGACAAGGTGGAAGTCCTCATCTGCCAGGCCTTTGGCTTCTATCCCAAGGGGATCCAGGCCATCTGGAGGAGGGGTGAAGAGGATTGCAAGTACGGGACCCTCCTTAGGAATGTGGCCCCCAACTCGGATGGGACCTATTATGTCAGGCTCATCATTGAGATCGACCCCAAGGAGAGGGACCTCTTCAACTGCCACATAAAGCACGGCAGCTTACAGGAGCCCCTGGTCTTGGCCTGGAAGGAGAACCCTGAGGAGAAACTGCAAGACTGGGGTTGGTAAAGAAGAATTTTCACCCATGAGGGATTGGGCAATTAGAAAGGGAACTTCACCCTTGGTGCAAAGACAGAACAATTAGCTCACCAGGTGTAGTTCTCTCCACCCTCAATCTCAACCTGTTTGTATCGATGTATTCAGAGGTAGTATTCAGTAGGTTCTGACCAGTTCTGGGGAACCAGTAGCGGACATTTTGAGTAGTTTGGAGAACTGGCTAATACCACCTCTGACTGGCGCCACCCCCATCTATTCTCTGCCTCCCGAGTGCCAGCTGATTGGCTGGGTCTTCTTTTGTTGCCCTGCACAGGAGAACAAAGCTGGAAAGCAGGTTAGTGGGGTGGGGAGGGAATGGAGATTTTGCAGTATATCCTTCCCCTGCCATTCCCACAAGGCACACCATGCCCACCAAGCCACGCCCACGGAACCGGTAGTAAAATCACCTGTCATCTTAACCATAGAACTGTACCCCTGTAGGTAATTTATGTTTTTGTGTCATGTGAGTGAAGGAAAATGGGTGATTCCATCATCTTAACCCTTGTTTAAATGTGCTAGAGCAGTGGTGGCTAAACTTTTTGGGCTCCTGTGCTGAAAATTGTGCTTGTGCTCATGTGCCAGCACCCAGAAGGCAATGCGCCCCTCCATGCATGGCCCACTGCCCCCTTACCTGCACTACGCATGCACGTGCCACCCAACTGATTTTCAGGCCTTTTTCGGCCTCCCAGAGGCTTGAAGGAAGTCTCTGCAGCCTTTGGAGCTAAAAAATGGGCCTGTTTCATCACTTCCGATATTTCCGGAAATACAGGAAATGACAAAACGGGCCTGTTTTTCAGCCTCCAAAGGCTGCAGAGGCTTCCCCTGAGCCTCTGGGAGGTTGAAAAAGGCCCGAAAATCAGCTGGGAGGCAGGCACATGTGCAGTGAGGTAAGTTTGCTTGGGGCTCACATGCCCGCACAAATGGTTCTGTGTGCCACCTGTTTGCCATCATGGTGCTAGAGGATGGTAGAGTGCGAAAGGCACACCTACATTCAAGTCCAGGCATGGTTGTGGTTTCTACAGTTGTGATCCTAGGATTAATCGTTCTTTGGCAGAGGTAAAGCTACTAGAGAGGAATTCATAACAGTTACTTGGCAGTGAGCACCCTCTGGGTGTGCCAGGTGCCAAATCTATGTCCAGGCTTTGTCCTTGAGCTGAGGATCTTTATGTCAACCCTGAAGCAGACCTGACTGAGGCCATCTTTGTGGCTTCAGGCATGGAAGAAGAAGGGACAGAGAGGGTGGAAATCGCCAACTGGGGATTTGTAGTCAAAACAAAAGGTTTTCCTGTGGGAACCAAGGACATTCCAACAGGTGGCTGGGAGAGAAGGAGTAGAGTAACCAAGCAACTGGCCAGCACTTCCATTGGACAATGTGACTGATGACTTGCGGGAAGGGAGAACTTTTATTTTTTAATCAGGTGAAAATCGCAGGAACTTTCAGAGTTGGTTTTTAGCAGTTGTGCCAATATGATATATCCAATAAATTGTCCACCTGCCTCAGAATTCTGCTTTCTATGAGTTCATTCCTTGGAATGCTGACATATGTCAGAAATGGTGTAGGGTCGCCCGCTTGGGTGGTGGGTTGGACTAGATGACCTACAAGGTCCCTTCCAACTTTATTGTCCTGAAGACTGAAGACTCTGTTTTACTTTTAGCCAACAGGAGCCTCCATGTAGGAGTCATTATGGGGGCTGTGACTACTTTCATTCTTCTGGTTTCTGGAATCATCTGGATAAGTAAGTAAGGAGGAAATATCTTTTGCAGCTTGTTCTTCCTTCTGCTCTCACTTCCCACTGGAAAGGTCTTAGGATGATAGATCTGCTTTCTCCGGACCCTTTCTGAATAACTTTCAAACAAGCTCATCTGAAGTCTTGCCCCATGTTCTTCTCAGCCTCTACTTCCATTTGCATGCAAACCTGCATGAGTGCTTGTGTTACAGTGCTTCCATCCTCAACCCCAAGATGCAAACTCTCTGCCTTCAGGATACAATTGGAATATTTGGAACAAGTTTTGGGTTCACTCATAAAATGGCTGCTAGAAAGGGCTTGCATGTTTGTTAAGTACCTGTCCATGGGGCCAGTATAACCAGCTATAAAGCTACAATTTATTTGCTTATTTGTTTATATACGTATGTATGCATTTATGTATGTATGTATGTATGTATGTATGTATGTATGTCCTATTTACAAACCATCCACTTACCTCATAGATTGACTCTGGGAGGTGGTGCACAAATAGACGTAAACCCATAAACACTATATATAAAAGAAGCAGGTACTTTGCACAGTAGCTGGCTAATTAATTCTTGTTTAAGTTTGAAATATTAAAATTAAGAATGCAGGGTCAAGTCAAGGGGCCAATTCGTGGAAGGTTCTGAAGAAATGTGAGCATCACCCTGGTTTTACACAAGGTGGGTATATCAGGTCTCATATATTTATATATCATATATTTATTCCCTCAATTTATGTGTGTTGTCCCAATTTCAGTAACCAAAACCACATTCATAAGACTTCCCAGGGTCACATCATGTAGCCCCAAAGAATCCAAGGGATAAATCCAGCACAAATCCCATAGGAATTGTAACCATACTCCAACTTTCTATGTTTGGAGGTAGAAGCATGGTGACTTAGTGGCTTAATAACACTGGAGATAGTCTTTGTTGAGTCCTAGCACTGCATAACAGGGTGAACTCCCATTACTCACCTTAGCTTCTTCCTACCTAGCAATTTGAAAGTATGTTCTATACGAGTAGATAAATAGGTACCTCTTCAGTGAGGAGTTGAGCCAGTGCTTCATGGGTATAGTTAAAATCCCCCCTGGCCCTGAACCTTCCCAGTTGCGATTCCCATTTGAAGGTGACTGGTGAAAAGAGAGGGTCTCAGATGATACTGCAAGAAAGCTGCTCATGTTCCTTTCTGATATGGAGTTAGCTCACCCTCCTGTGGCGAACCTTGGGAAATACCCAAGTGTGAACCAAACAGAGCTAGCAAACAGGCAGCCAAACTACTACTCTGCCTCAGAAGTGGAGCCTCCTGGCTAATGTAACATTGTCATATGCTAAATAAATAAACAACATGTTTGGGGAAAGGAAAAACAATTTACAACAAGGATTAAAATCTTGGACAAAGCTCAGGAGAGAAAAATTTTCTGAATCCTTGAACTTGCTGTTCGGTTGAGTGCCTGAGGATTTCGAGCAATAGCACTTGTACTCTAGGCCTATTTTCATTTAAAAAAATGAAATCACCCTCCTTGATACAAAAAGTGGTATCTGGAGGTGTCTGTCTTCCAGCGCTGACCCCCATTCTATCCCTGCAGGACATCAAAGAAAGGAGAACAAGAACAGCTAAAGAGCATCCAAAATCTTGGCCGCTTTGGGACTTCTTTCCAGATTCTTTGGAGAATCAACCTTAAGAGCTTCTTTCCGCCCCAGCCTCAGGACAGGCAACTCAATCTGCATGCCTGCGTTGCCTGTTTTGGGGTAAAAGTTGCTCTTTTTTAATAAAAAATTCAATATTTATATAAATATTTATAATATTTACATACAAGCTATGCCCAGCCAGTCACATGACCACCAAGCCACACCCACAAATTAGACCATGCCCACAGAACTGGTTAGTGGACCCTGGGATTTAAAATTATGAGTTTGGTGGTCCCTGAGGTGCAAAAGGTTGGTAACCCCTGAACTAGATAACATCATCATCAACGGTGGTATTTGTCAGGAATGTAAGTCACCTAACAGTTGGGTTGGAAAATATATAAACCAGGATAGACATTTTAATACTGTCTCTTTAAGGGAAACCTGGGTTGTTCTGTTCTGTTGTTGCTGAGAGTGTTGGTGTTCCTGCATTTCCCTATTGACTGTTGCTGATCATCGTTATTCTTGGATTTGATGTAAGTCTGTTACTGAACTGTTTTTGATACTGGACTTTGCTATTGGATTATCCCTGGACTGAAAACTGACTGCTTTAACCATGAATGACTTGGACTGCTTGTTGGACTTTGCTTAACTGTTTACTGGAAGCAAAAACCTACATTTTACTATACAGTGTATCTGTGTGCTAGTTGTGTGTTATTCCTCACCACTCTCACTATGTCTCCCTGTATGCGGTGGTAACAAAAAAAAATGAATTCCACCACTGATCATCACAGTAAGTAGTAGCAATTAGCACTAATGAAGTTATGTAGTTTGGGTAATGAAATATCTGCAAGAAAATAGCCAAGCTCAGAGAGCACTAAGGACCTCTCATGTCAACCCTGAGCTACAAATATTCTCCTTTACTGTGACCAGATGATTGCAAAGGATGTAAATCCTCCCATTTCCCCCCAGTCAGTTAAAACTGAAGAAGCTTCTTGGATGAGATGTGAAACGTTTTCAAAACAATAACAGCAACAAAAGAATGTCCAGTTTGCCTTTTGGAAAAAGTACCTTTGGGATGGCCATGACATGGATGATTAAGACATCCAGCAAGCAACTCATAACAAGCAACTTTTGCAAATATTTCCTATACATTGGGAATCGGTTGAATTCCTGAATCGCCCACTTGGCATGGTTTGCTTTCTTTCATGGTCTCTGTCTTGTCTTGCTAATCTCATACATTCAATTATTGTGTGTTGATAAAATATTGGGTATAAACTTTTTTAATATGTTTATACAGAGAAGGCTTATATTAAGGACAAGCTCTTGTTAAGTAGCACTAGCACTAGCACTAGCACTTAAACTTATCTACCATTTGATAGTGCCTTACCGCCCTCTCTAAGCAGTTTACAGAATCATCCTATTGCCCAAAACAATCTGTGTCTTCATTTTATCCACCTTTGAAGGATGGAAGGCTGAGTCAACATTGAACCTGGTGGGATTTGAACTGCCAAATTGCAGGCAGCTGATAGTCAGCAGAAGTGGCCTGCAGTACAGCACTCTAACCACTGTGCCACTTAGGCTCTTATAGTAATAGTATTTAGACTTATATACTGCT